TTGTTAGGCATTTAGATAAGGTTAATATAATAGAAAAATTAGTTTCGTTTAAGAAAACTTCAAGCTTTTTTTATAAAATTTTTAGAATTTTACTCGCAATCCCATTGGTCAATTTTAAGTGCGGCGGTCACATGACTTTTTTAAAATCGTCATATCTCAAAAAAGTAATAGAATTTTTGGGGTGCATTTAAGTGTATCAAAAAAGTAGGTGCAGGTGTATCAAAAATGAATGTTTTGCTACCCTAACCGCTATCTAACCAATCACACTTAATCACGTGATTTTGCACTGTCCCTAAGCACTGTCCGTAGACTTTTCGTTGCAACAGTTACAGCTCTGCACGTTATTTTGAATCGCGCATGCGCCTTATTTTGAGGCAAAATATAAAATTTTCGAACTCTTATATTGAAATAAAATACATGTTTTATTATAATAGCCAAGTCGTCAATAAGTTTTTAAACTCTAACTCATATACCAGGGTGCGCGTTATTTCAAGACGCGCATGGGCGTTATTTCAAATAATATGACTAATTTTTTCAAAAAGTCAAAATTCGAATTAACGCTCCGGCCCGCTATTACGCGCAAATACGGTACGGATGATTCCCTGAAAGTTATTTTCCCGACTCAATATCATACAGCGTGACATTTGCTAAAAATATATACCCGCAACAAATCGAACGCTAACACTAACCCTATGTGATGTCGGGTAAGTAACCTGTCAAGGAATGTCTTTCGGGAAATTGAGCGACAACCGTATTACATATTAGCCAAAAAAGAAAATAATGATGAAGGTTTATACAAAGGAAAATTTTTGACAAATTTTCGCAACAATAGATAGTCTGTATAGTAGCCTCCAAAAGCTTGAAACTTTCTTTTTTAAATCCAGGTTAGCGGGATTGAACATTCAGATAAAATTAGTAAGAAAAAGAGGTGTTTATTCACAATACAATGTTTTCAGTGTAATAATAATAGATTTTTAGAGGTTACATGTTCAACCGGTTTGACCCGAGTTGTAAACTTTTGACCCGGTTGAACCGTTTTGACCCGGTTTACAATAACCCGGACCTAAACTCTATTGTAAATCCAATAAATAATTTGATGCTTTGTGAGGATCATAATCATGTTTCTCCAACGCGTCAATAGCTTGTGTTTTTGAAAATCCTATGTTTATAATTTGCTTTATCATTTCACTATTTGGGTCATTCTCATCAACATCGCTTTCCTCTTCAATATAGGAAGTTGAAGACGATGAAGGTATCGCCTCTTTTGGGGGTCGGGTAGGAAGAGTGGGAGGAATAATGTGTTGTTGATGCGAGGGTCGTCGTTCGTAAGAATACAACGGGGCAGCAGTAAAATCTCTTTGCATTTCACCTTGAAGGTTAGGAGCAGAAATATTGCGAGCACTCATAGAACTTAAAGGTGATGTATAAACATTTGCAGTATTTGTAGGAGATATATGCATATTAGCTAAATTTGTTGACATAAATTGTTCGGGATTGCTATGATTTGATAAAGGTGACCCTAAAGTGAATGCTTGTGGCTGCTGTTGTACAGAAGGAGTTATTACTGGTTGTAATCTTGGCGATACGTGGAACCTATTAAAATTAGAAGGTGCCAATGATTTTTCTGGCCCCATATGTAATCCCGTGGTAGTTGGAGACATGGTAAGTCCATTTGAAACGAAATTTTTTACACCATTTGGTGATGTGAATGGCACAGAAGATCCAATTACTCCCTGCAAGATTGCCATATCATTTTGAAATGTATTTTGAGGATCTAACATATTACGTGATGGAAGACTCTCCTCAAATTCAAGATAAACCAGTGATTTTGCAGGTTTACTCTGCGCCAAATCATATCGCACATAGTCGAATAACAATAATGGTAATTACACAAAAGGGTTAGAAGTTTAATAAAATTAGCATTGCAATGTGTAGTATAATGATATATGCACACTATGATTTCATTTACCTCTTCTACATCACCCTCTTCTTTTAATTTCATTCGTTCTACAACGTGATTTGGCAATTCATCTGATGCAGAACGCCCGTGTGACACTTTCTGATTGTCATTGCTAACTTCACCAGCGGGTACATTACCATTTTCTACTTGCTGACTGGTTCGCTTAGACGGTGCGTGCATTGGTACGGGAGTTAAAAGTCTTCGATCTGTGTCCAGGAATCCAGGAGCTATTTTTCTGGCTTCCTCTTTTTGCTTACGGATGCGCGCATCCTGAAGAGCTTGCAGTTTCTGGGCTCGTATTTGCATCAAAGCGGCATTTTCCTGCCGAAATCGTTCTGAATCAGCGATAACATGACGTTCAAGATTAAAGTCATACTTATTCTGAATGGTCAAAATAAAATTAATATAAATGTTGATAAAAATGGCACTTGTTAAAAAACTGATAGCATTATCGAATGCTTACCACAGGAGGTAGATCAAGAGTAAAATCATGAGGCATTGTTACCTGTAAAAAATTTAGATCGTGTTAAGATTTAAGTAAGCAAGGTCTATTAAATAAGCTTAATATTACCGGTTGTAATGCGGAGAACTGTGGTGCCAAAATAAGAGGTACATTTTCCAAGGCTGAATAAATTGACGAGATTGTGCTTTGTTCCATTTAGTGTTCTTAGCAAGCGATTGACTAAATTCGATGTTATAAAAATCTGCTGATCTGGTGTTACCCTGTAAGATCACGGACTTAATTGGGGTATAGTCTAAAGCGGGGACCGACACAAATCCAACAATACTGCAATATATATAATATCTATAAATATGGGCCCTTTTTAAAATACAACTTCCCCGTTACGGCAGTTACTCAGATAGGGGGACGTCTAAAGCGGAGCAGATTCTTATAATATATATTTTATTGAATTAACTTTAGGGTTAGGGTCATCTT